GGAAGTGAATTCGGAGGTCCGTGGGTCATTTTGGAGTCATTTGGCTAAAGATAGAAATTTGAGAGTTTTTGAGAAGTTTGACCGGAAGTGAACTTTTTGATATCGGGGTGGGAATCCGATTCCGGAAGTTGGAATAGGTCCGTAACGTCAGATATGAACTGTGTGCAAAATTTGAGGTCAATCGGATGCGATTTGATAGGTTTCGACATCGAATGTTGAAGTTTGAATTTCTCAAGTTCATCAAGTTTGATTTGGGGTGTGATTCATGATTTTAGCATTGTTTGATGTGATTTGAGACCTCGAGCAGGTCCGCATTATGTTTTGGGACTGGTTGGTATGATTGGTTGGGGTCCCGGAGGCCTCGGGTAGATTCCGGATGGTTAACAGATCAAAGTTGAAATTTAAAGAAAGACTGAAGCAGCTGATATCTGGTTTAACCGCACCTGTGAGGTTTTGGCCGCAGGTGCAGAGCCGCAGAAGCGGCTAGGAGGGACGCAGATGCGGTGCTGAGCCAGAAGTGAAGAGACCGCAGATGCGTTCATGTAGCCACAGAAGCGGGATCGCACCTGCGGTGGTTGAGGCGCAAAAGCTGAAAGGTCAGCCTGGTGAGAAACCGCAGAAGCGGTCAAGTGACCGCAGGTGCGGAAATGCTGGGGGCAGTAAGGTTCTTTTAAGTTGGGGGTTGGGTTCATTTCAACCTCATTTCTTCCATTGGAGCCGATTTTGGAGCAACTTTGAGGTGCCATTTTCGTCATCAAACATGAGGTAAGTCAATTCCACCCCTTGTGAGTTAAATACATGATATTATTAGGGATTTGAGCAAGAAAAATTTGTAGAAACTTGGGGTTTTGGTGGAAAGACCTAGGATTGGTATTTTTTGATTTTAACCATGATTTTGGGCATGAAATTGAGAGTAAATTATATATTTGAGTTCGTGAGGTTATGAGTAAACTTTATCTTCGAAAGTTTTTTGAATCCGGGCACGTGGGCCCGAGGGCAATTTTGTCAACTTTTTGATCTGGGTTAGGAATTGTTATAAATTGGATTGTAATGAGTAATTGGATTGTGGGAAACTATGAGTTTGTTATTGTCGATCTGTAGCCATGGCCAAATCTGTTCGCCTACTCCCTCTTCACTTCAGATCTATTCTCTTCGCTTTAGAAAGTCCACCATCGCCACCAAAATGGCTGGTATGACGATTGCCTTGATGGAATTGAGGGAGAAGAGAGATGATTGAGAATCTTGTTGATAGAGAGAGAGAGAAGGAATAGAGTGAGAGAAAGAACATAACTGGCGTATTTCACGCCTCAATGGTATATACAAATTTTATATATTTTTCGGCTATTATTTTTACAGCGGCTATACAATGTCATTTTCCAATAGTATTATTCAATCTTACTTTATTAAAGTTATAAATAACATTTTGATAAGTGAATATATATTTAGTAAAAATTTTAAAAATTGACAAACATATGGTTTATTAAAAAATTCCTATGAGAGAATTATTTTAGTAACACATGCTAGTTATTTTCGTAGTAATCTATGAATATTTATTTGTTGATACACGTTGTCAAGGTTAATTGAATTTAACAATTATATATAAAAATCAATATGATACCTAAATAATGATATGTTTTATTTAAATTTAAATTATTGAATTAATATTTCAAATTAGAAAACGATATAAGAAATCTTGACATATGAATATGAAGAACAAAGAGGTGATTGATACATTTCAATAATATTTGATAAGAAAGTGATACAACCCATCATTTAAAGTAAATAAAAACAAATACACTTCATAGTTATATTACATATTCCATTTCACGAGAAGATCCCTAATATTTCTAGACATTTTTTTTGAAGAACATTCTATATAAAGTCTTATAAGTATGAGTATAAAAATTATATATTAATATGTTGGTTTGGTTCAATTTTTTTTTTTTACTCAAAATCAAACCGAATCAAACCAAAATCAATTGAATTTTAAAATTGAATTGGTTTAACTTTTTGGTTTTGTACGAGTTTCTGGTTCAGTTTGGACAGCTCTAGTACGAGGGAGGCAAGGTTTTATTTTGTTTGTTGACGTTGAAAGCCATCTTGGCATTTTAGCTCGTTTGAGACATGTCTACTTGAATTTCCAATCAGTTTTAATTTTAAATAACTAAAGATTTTTTTTAATGATTTTTAAATTGAAGTGGTAAAAAGTAATTTAATATCTTTGGTAGAAACAAATTCAAGTTTGGTGACCTATGGAAAAATTAACTTAGCAATTCACAAATAGTTTTATTTTTAATATGATAGAAATACTTTATAACTTTATTTTTACAGGATTTTTTTTTATTTTAATATGACAAAAAGTAAAAATTTACTATTTTGGGTAGAAAAAACTTAAGTTGGGTAGCCATTTGAAAAATTAACTCAGCAATTCACAAATAGATTTGCTTAATGTGGTAAAATATTTTTTTAACTTTGATGTATAGCAAAAAATATTTAATTATTTTAACGAAAAAGTAAATTTTTGATATTATTATTGGAAAAACAAAGTTTGATGACCATATATAAATATTGACATTTCATTTTTTTTCCGCACAAAAAGCTTGTTATATAAAAGAACCAACAAAAAAATAGTAGGAAATTTCGTAAGCTAAAGGTACAACCCCATCAAGCAATAGAGCCATAGACCAATAAAAAGAAGCTTGGTTCCAATTTTTTCAGGGGAAAGGGTTTTAGGTTTAACAGAGCTGCCATGGAAGAACATCTAGTGGAAGACGAATCAGGACACAATCCGAGGATACGAGGTAGACACATCAAGAAAAGAGCCCTCAAGAACAAATCTCTCACTGTCTCTTTTGATGAAAAAGACCTCAAGTACCCTTCTTCTATGAACTTTTTCCTTTTTTGTGCTATGCTTGTTGTTTTTTGATTTGTTAATTTGAATTTAATAAAATTTGGGGTGTAGGGATTTTGTGACTGGTTTTCATAAGAGAAAGAAGAAGAGGAGAAAAGAAGCGCAACAGCAATTGGAAGAAGCCCATAGGAGGAAACGTATTGAGGCCCGTAAAAAGGTTCAATCTTTATCATACCCTTTTGAATTCATTGGCTTTAATTGCAATTTAGTAGTCGGATAGTATTAAAAACTTAATATTATCTAGTAGCAAAATGGGTTGGAAGTGATGGACAAATAACTGGGGGAGGTAGCAGGTACCTAGTGGAATAGTTGAGATGCGCGTAAGATGGCTCGGACACTACTGTTAATTAAAAAAAAGTGATGTCCTGATAATGACCATCTTACAATTTGATAATTTTGAAAAAAATGATAAGTTTTACTTTAGGATATACTGCCCTGTGATATGGTTATTGCGTATTGTGTGCCTCTGTGTGGTTGGAGATTGTGAAACTAGGGAATAAGATGGCATGACTTTGAAAAGCATATTGATTGCTCTGTTTATGGCTTCTAAAGCAAAATGTATGTCAAGGGTTTTAGAAATATAAAATGGGGTTTCAGCTGAACAAGTAAAATTGTGAGTTTAATAATGACTCGGGCTCTCTTTTTCTGCGAAATAGCAGATTTGAGGAGGCTCATTCAAGAAAGGCAGAAATAGACTGAATAATACTCCAGTAGATTAGTAGTTAGGAATCCCCTAACCGGGAGCCTAACAATGGCTGTTTCCACCTTCATCTTTTTGTGACTCAAAATTCCAAGTTCACGGGCTCATATTTATGGGAAAAACCTGATGTTACCACGTTGGTCAGATATTGATTGACTGCTTTATAAGGCATACATTTCAATGGATAAAGAATCTGTTTCATTATTTTGAGTTCTTAAGTTAAGTAGTGGTAGTCTTATGCTTAAGTTAAGGGTGATTTGTCAATTAGCATTAGGGAGTGCTCATTTCCGATCAACTAGATAATCATGTATACACAAATATCCACTCTTAATGCCGAGAACATCTAGAAATAGATAACGAGGAACAGTGTGCGTAAAAAAATTGACTTACTTTTTATACTTCTTTTTTCTTCCTGAGATTGGCACATGGTTAAATATATTTACTGCTTTTGAAGTTCCTGGCTGTTTCAGTGATTGCCTCGAATTTGCTTTCTTTATAATGGTGATCATTCAAATGGTTGTTAACTTTTTGATTATGGGTAAAGTGCCTTAATGCCTTTTGTCCTCCTGACTGTGTGAGTATCAAATTTGTTTCCAGCGCAACAGTGCAGTTAGTAAGTGATCATTAAATTAGTTATTACTTTTATTACTAATAGCCGTGTTAATATAATCGGAATACTCATGGCGGCTTAGCTTACTTTTTCTCTTGCTTTTACAGAGAAAGGAGGAAAGAGAATTTGCCATCTTTGGTGGAGCTCCACCTGATTCAGGTGCTGCAGCCGATGAACCTGATGAGGAACTTGATGATGTAGAGGAAAATGAGCCTAATGCCACAGTCTCAGGTATCTCCTAATGAAATTACTGCAGACTTATGTTACTCGGACTCGGGTGCAGATCTAGAGGTCGGATTCTTCATCACATAAATTTTAGGATTTGGGAGTATGAATAAAATGCGGATACGGGTGGTGGAATACAACCAACAAATGTATATTATGACATATATAAGTATATACTTCGATTACTTAAAGTTATTGAACTAAAACTAAGAAAATTTAGTTCTTTATAAATACCTAATATTTTATGCATAATATATCTCGTATAATAGCAAAGCATTCTCATAATTTATATGATTATATATATGACATAAACACACAAAATCAAACCAAATACCTAATCAATCTATACTTCTTGTTCATAGATGTAGTCAAAGCACCAAAGATAAGTTGGCCAAATCCGCCGTGGATCCCACACACACCCATGTCGTGTCTACAGGGGTGTGGCAAGGATTTTGAAGAGTCTGCGCAGCATAGCTGCAAACTTATTTGTTGCTAACTTCTATCCAGAGCTCTCCTTGGGAACAGTCCCATCCTCATCGGAAAAGTTTCAGATTCCTATTGTGGGGGGTTTCATTTAATAGTCATCAACTTAAATGTAAATACCTTAAGATGCTGTGCAAGATAGGTAAAGAATAGAAACTTTTATTGGGAATATCAAAGGCAGAACACAGTTAACAGTGGCAAGGGGAAGGTTTAGAAACATAGGCACCCTTCGTTGGCTCTCCTGGCGTTGTGACATCACATGATAGAATCATATACATAGCTGCTTTACTTCAGTCTATGCAGAAAATGAGAACTCTATATTATAATCATTGACGGATATGCCTTTTAGCATTTCCAACCCTCCCCCATTTCTCCATAATGGAGCCATTTTTTGGCAAAATGTTGCTCCAATGCTCCCCCATTTTTGCCCCCAAAATGGGGGATGAATAGTGTTACTCCAAATATGGAGAGACACTATTCATCTCCTCCATTACTATTCATCCTTACTTTATTATTATTTTTATTATTTAACTCTTTTAATTTATCTCTTTATATATACCTAATTATGTTTATGTAATATCTTTATAATATTAATTTTACATCTTAACTTTGGCGTATAATTTTGATAAATTAATTTTCGTGCATTTATTATTTTAATGTAAAATTGTACATTAATTTTATTATAAGTTATAATTGTACAAAAAATATATAATCATCTCAAAAAATGAATAGAGGATGAACGTGATCTTAATGCACCAATTCAAGATGATTGGGGATGTCCACCTCCAACGATGGAAATGGTAGTAGATGAAAATCACTGATTTGAGCAATTTTTTGCTCGACACAAAAAAATTAAGGACAAAGATGCTCATTTTGCACTTCGTAATGCATTAATAGATCATTTATGGGAGCATACTGGAGGTGGAAGTTGAATATTTATGTAATATTTAATATGAATTTTACGGTATATCGTATAACCCCTTTAGAGTATTGATGGAACATGATAGAACGTTCATATTGCCTTGCCCTCTGAAAAAATTGAACTTTAAACAAATTTTTTTGATTCAACCATCTCTTTGTCTACTTGAATCGGATATTTTGAATACCAACTAAGATTTAGAATACTAATAAATCACATAATATCCCCAGCTATTTTTTTCTCTTTTTTGAAATTTAGAAATAGTAAGCGATTCCGTAAGGGATTTCTGACGTAAGTTATTTATCTTATTATTAATCAAGGATTTCTTATATTAAATTTTTACCATAATGTAATATGTATTTAATTATCTTGTATTTCAATGATTTCGCTTTTATTTGAATTATTTGTCAATATATATAATCTATAATATTTGCTTACAAATTATATTATTTAAAAATTTATGGTATAAAATAATTTTATATTAAATTATATGCGATGAATATGTAAAAAAGAAAAAAAGAAAGAATTTCTTTAATAGAAATAAGAAAATAAAATTTAAATAAAAGATATTAATATAATATTGAAGAGAGAAGAATGTAAAATGGAATATTCTTTTATGGAGTAAATAATGGAGTAATGGTTGGAGTAACTTTACTCCATTTTGGAGGAGAAAATGGAGGCAAGGGTTGGAGATGGCCAATAGGATATTAGACATTGAGCTTCGGAAATATTCTGAGAGTTAATTTTGCTCCCGTACTCTTGGATCTTTCTTGTGCAACCATTGATAGTGGTGGTTGAAAAAACTCTAGTATTAGTTACAGATACGTGCGACTGAGGAAAAAATGGTATTGTGTAAGGGGTTTGTCCTCCGGTCACAACGTAAAGTTAACTTGATAGTAAGGATATATGTAGTAGTAGGGGCTTAATTAACAGTCTAAGCATGATTAAGATCTAGGAAATTAACCTGTGTATTGATTTTTGCTTCTTGTTAAAAGGGACTACAACATATGACAATGGTGATGTGCAAGTCATCGTGACAATGAGCGAGATCTCTCGCGAAGAAGACTTCCCAGCTCAAGTGCCACCATTACCTGTGCTTCAACATGATGGAGAAACTAAAAGCCACAAACAAAACATTCCGGTAATTAAGAAGAAACCATTCAAGAAAGTTGCAAAAAAGAGATCTCGGCCCAAGCCACAGAATAAGAGAGATAGGAAGAAAGGTAAAAAGAAGAACAAGAAGCACACATGAAATCTCTTTTCAGTTCAAAAAAAGGAGAACAAGCAGCAGTAGCAATTTTGTTTCCCTATCCTTGGCTCCTTCACCTCCTAATGAAAAAGAGAGAAAAATGTCTCACCCTCTTGTAGAGATGCTCTAACCAGTGACGCCTTTTTATTTATGCGAATGTTGTTAGTGTATTTTCTAGTATCTTGCTTATGTTATGACTAAGGTTTTTTCAGAATGATTAATCTGGGCAGTTAATTTTGTCAATTGATTATTTATAAGATCTTGCATTTGAATTATTCTTACTAATTACATGATACACTTGGATTTCTTTTCCGCAAGGTACCACAGCTACTGTTTTTAGCCATGCTAAATGTTGTCAGTTTTTGTACATCAGGGAATTATTGGACCAGGACTGTTGTAATTATGCAAAAAAAATTGCATAAATATGATACTTTTTGGGGTGATCTTTAATTTTTTACCCCCGCTTGCCCCATCGGCGGAACTTCAAGGTTAAAAGTTAAAAGTGTTGTCCACCATGAGACAAGCGAGGGGCAGTAATTATTAAACATGAAATGAGCAAGCGGGGGAAAATACTTGTTAAATTTGAAGTTCAGCCTATGGGCAAGCGAGGACAAAATTCAAGACCGACGGTATCTCTTTTTCAAATCTTGGGTCTTTTAGTCTTTCTCATCATTGGTGAAAGCTTCTCAAAAAAGGAAGATGAAGTTATAACTAAATAGGAGTAGTTCATAAAGGATTATTATTACATAACTCAATAGCTTCGCATGCCCCTTTAGTTAGTCTTGGATCAAAATGTTATACCCTTGGCACCTTTTTCTTTGGGTTACCTGGTCGGTGCGCATATCGGAATCTTTTAATTGATCCGATTAAAGGGAAAAGTGCTTCAAAGCAAAAAAAGTTCATTTTTAGAGCTTGTACTCGAGACCTTCTGTTAAGTCTATACTCTGGGCACTCATTTTCATTTTAATGCCACCCAGCGACAAGATCATTAGCTAATGTTAAATAAATAACACATCTCACAACTTCTTATGTATGTTTTAGTGGACTAGTTATTTTTGGTACAAATCACTGAATAATAAAACTGGCTACACGTGTCGTTTGTATAACAAGGAGAGTTAAGTTGATAATTTAATCCATGTTTACTTCTTGTTCCCCCAAGAGTCAAGAACGTAACTAGAGGAAATGAGGAATAGCTGAATTTACTTTCTAGCGCAGTCACTTTTAGGAATGACAACGTGGCGGTGCAAGTTTAAATTGTTGCGGGGCGAGTTTAAGGTCATGCGGTAGAGTTTAAATTTTAAAAAACCATTAGAGGGGGTGGTTTCAGCCTTGCAAGTAGTGGTGGCAAAATGGTTAAAAGAAAATAGTTAACCACCCATATTATTCACTAAAATATGGGTTGGATAATGAACTTTTTAAAAATGGATCAAATATAGATAAGAATCATACTATCCATTTAGAAAATGGATAACCAATGAGTTTAACTTTTACATTTGTAAAGCCTCAAATTAGGGGTTCCTCAAGTTTGAGAGACGAGAAATTCTCCCAAAAAGTGATCATATTCAAGAAGTCATGGATAATATGGTTACCCATATTATCCGTTGATTAACCCATTTTTTATCCGTATTAAATATGAATCGGGTCGAATAATTTATTCGCTTTTTCATTGTCCGTTTTCAATCTAAACCATATCCGACCCAACCTGTCCGTTTACCACTCCTAGTTGCAGGTTTAGTTGCGGATTTGTTGCGTGTAACAAAATAAGTAGTTAAGGATTTGCAACTGAAAGCTTATCTTACACACATTTGATTCTTACACAAACAATTTTTTGTACGTAGCTACTAAATATTACAAATTTTATGATAATAATCTAGAATCTTAAATATGTAACTTCCACAAAGTACTTTTGAGGGAAAAGAAAGTTTCGCAAAACAAATATGTATTCTTACTAATTTTTTGATATGAGAGTTTGAAGCCTGCAAGCTAATTAATTAAGAAAATTTTACCTCATATAGCAAAGTTTTACACCCTATTTATTATAAATAAAAACTCTTTTAAATTATTATTTTCTATAGTTATCTTTTAGATTTTATAGCAAAATATAGTTATGGTCACTTTCTACCGTTAAGCCATTAAATACGCTGTCTAATATTTTTCTCTCTCATTCTTTCAGTTTATTCTCTCCCAAAATCACCGTATAGTATCTTATTTCTCTCTCCACGATCTCTCTCTCCTCTCTCTAGGCGACATGGAGACCTAGCCGCTACCATGGCCGTTTTCAATAGTTTTTGCTCAAAATTTCTCTCCCCAGCTCTCTCCTTTATCAGCGCCATTGTCTCCCTCAATTTTTTATTTTTTTGCTCCAAAAAGTTATGGTAAGTGTTAAAGTTTTTGGGTTTTTGACCGGTTAAAGCTTCTTCTTTTTCTCTTCAACAGTTTTTTTTTAAAATATTCACCATTGTTAGGTTTTCTGTAGAATACCCACTAAAGCATTCAATTTCGAAGGGCCATCTTTCGATACTATAAAAGCTTTGTTAGGTTTTCTGTAGAATACTCACTAAAGCACTTAATTTCGAAGGGCCATCTTTGGATCACTTAAGAGGAACCTGTATTTGCAGGTTCATCAGCAACCATTGAAGTCGAAAGGAGAACAAAAATACGCAGTGACCTTAATTGTAGATGTATTTATATGTATTCGAGTCCGAATACATTGATTTTTATTTTGTACAGTGGTTTTCTCTTCTTGTATTAAGATGTATTCATATGTATTTGAAAAAACATACACTGATTTTTATTTTGTACAGTAATTTTTGACTATTGTATTTAGATGTATTTATATGTACTTGAGTTCATACAACAACAGTTTTAAATACATTGTTAGTTCTATCATTTTGATGTCATTCATCAATTAGTTATGCATTCAATCTAACTGTATTCATCTGTATTTTCAACCTAACTATATCTATCTGTATTTAAAATAACCAATACAGTGAAATACAGTAAAATACTCTCAATACAAATAAAAAATTAATGAATACAACCAATGAAATATACTCAATAAAGCAGTAATACCATATATTAGGAATAAATAAAATATTGTGAATACAAAAATAAACTTGAATACATTGAATATAACTGTTAGATACAATAGAATACAAGTACTAGGTTTATTATGAAATATGCAGGCAGTAGGTTACTATTACATGTTGTATCCGACATAAATACATGATGCATTCATATACAGAAAATCGAATACAAACACTAGGTTTATTATAAACCTCGAACAATGTCAGGAAAAAAAAAAATTCGAACTATATCAGAAAAAAAGAGGGATCGAAACTCTGAATAATGCTCTATTTTTTGGTGTTTAGCGTCTGATAAATCTTCTCATTAATTGGATTGATAATGCTGTATATTACAATTGATTTAGATGAGTTATATTAAGAGTGTATCCCATTAAATTAACAGCTTTCCGTTATTAAACAACTGGAGAGACCTATTATTACGTTGTATTCATGAATATATGGTATGAATACATGTGAATATAGCGACTGACAGCTGGACTGCTCTATTTTTTAGCCGATATTTGCTACTGTATTTGTGAATACAATAGCTCGAATACATCAATACATTACCATAACAACTAAGAGATAGCTACGGAAAGTAATTATGTATATGGTAGCTATAGAAAATTAATGGAATAGCCACTAAACAATAGTCATTTCTGAAAATTTCTCTTAAATTATAGGATCTTAAATTTCGAAGCTAAAGCTAAAATCATTCCGGTGTAAGAAAAATAACAGCAACAATGCATATAAAGGTCTCTCTCTAAGCACATACTATATTCTATATACAATGCAAAAATAAATGTTAGAGAAGAGAAAAAGTGAGTATATTAATTAGCAATTCACTGTCTATATAATTTTTTTTAAAAAAAAAATCTAAAGAATAGAGATGAATGACCTCTCAAGTTAGAAAAAGATATACCACCCGGGGCGGTGCAAGACAGGTTTATGCGGGGCGGGTTGAAAATAGAAAAACTTGTTATGCGGGACGGGGCAGGACAGATTGAAATCTTTACGGGTTAAGGTTCAACCCGCTCCGCAACCGCCCCACCCATTGCCATCTCTAGTCACTTTCTTTCTTCATTTTTATAAGTCACCTTTTGGGCAGTCATGTTATAGTAGGAGTTGGTTTTGTTACATTAGAGCAACATTTACATTGTAAGTATATTATTATGTGTTTTAATATAGTTTACTGTAATAGAAAAGTGTCAACAAGTGCTCCTAAAAATAAACTTTCAAAATAATTCGGTATATTATGTGTAAAAATAAATTTTCAAAATAATTCGGTATATTATGTGTAAAAATAAAATTTCAAAATAATTCGGTATATTATTATGTTTTAATATAGTTTACCGTAATAGAAAAGGGTCAACAAGTGCTCATAGAAATAAATTTTCAAAATAATTCGAGCTCCTCTTTATTCTATTTGTGTTCAACGGAAGAACCACCTCATTTGTTTGCACTTAATAGAGGTCTGAATCTTAATCATTCAGATCTCAGATATTAAGTGCATTTATTTTTAAAGTCTAAATCTTAATTATTCAGATATTAATCATTAAGTATGTTTGTTTTTTACTTCACAACCACTTAATGAGTCTGAATAGGTCTGTATGATTAAGATCTATAACAGAGACTTAATTTCATTAAGATCCTATCATCCATATTCATTATTAATTGTCGCCATCGCCTTCCATTATCAACTACCACGATGCCACCCACCACCACCATACTCAACCACCACTCCCACAACCATCATTCTCAACCACAACCAAAACTCATCCACCTCAACTACCACAACTAACCACCCCATCACCATCAACAAGCATAGTCGACACTCCCCATCATTATAAACCACCACCACCACCCGCCATTATTAACTGTCACCACCCACCACACCATCCTCAATCATAATCGTCACAACTATCAATCACCACTAATTACTACACTAAACCACCACCACCAACCAAAACTACCACCAACCATCGCCTCTTGTCGGTATTCACAAACACTACCGCCACCAGCAACTATCATATTTTAAAAAATTATATATTTTATTGATAGAATATTAGATTAATTAGTATTTCATTTGAATTTTATGTTTATCAATTTCTAAATAAAGATAAATTTTATACATTAAAATGTTAAAAAATAAACAGTCTTAATTATTTAGTATTCAGATCTTAGTACACATCTTAATATTCAGATGTATA